ACTATCTCTGACATAAAGTTATAATGAGTTAATGGGTATAGCAATTATGACTATGCTATATTAGGTGGAAAAGCATCTAAGGGCATAGGTGATCTTATTTCTTATTACTCTTCCCCTAGATGAGAGATCAACCATCTTTTTAACTGAGAATGTTCCAGCAGGGCATAATGAACAGATCCTTCCTGAATAAGTCAATGAGTGAATGAAAGCCAAGTTGTACTGGCAAGTATAAAACAAAGGAAAAAACGAGAAAGAGATAAAGAGGTGATACTATATACAAAAATAAGTTCCAGATAGATTAAACAGGAAAAGGCTAACAGATCTGACTAGGTCCAAATTAAAATCACTGTTGGTTGAAGACATTCTGAACAGTTAAACGATAAGCAACAAGGACTTCTAGTTAAAATGTAGCAGATTGAACCCATGCTTTAAAAATCTCTGCTCCCCTGTAATATCTACTACATGGCAATAAAACGAATAAAAAGACAAAGAGAACAGAAGAAGAAACAATAACAGACAGGAGGTATCAGCAAAATGTTAGAGGAAGGACAGTGGACAGATAAGTAGTAACTGACTCAGCTGAGTCGAAGATGCTAAAACCAAATTAAGAAGCAGACTTCAAAGGCTTCAGGAATTAGCGGCAGCATATACCACTGAAATTAGGAATGGGGATGAGGGACAAAAAAACAGAGGATTAATTAAAACTGGTTTAGGGAATACTCAGATCTCCCATCTTCTACCTATATCTCTAGATGACCACACCATCCATTTCCCAAAGAAGATGGTAAGCTTACTTTTTGGAGAAACTAAAACAGAAAGAGAAATGAGTCACTAAATTGATAAGAAGGGGAATTAAGTGAAAATCTGTGTGCTGAATGGTGAGACATTCCATGCCGCCCCCGCCCCCATCCCACCAGCTGGAGGATCAGCTGGCCATCTTTTCAGAAGAGAATGTGCCAATATTTATTGCAATATAAAACACGCCTATTGTTTGACCCTTCTAGGAATTGAAGTACTCAGACATATACAGAAGGATATGTATAAAAAGATTCACTATAGCTCCATCCATCAACAGGAAAATGGTAAAATAAATTACAGTGCATTCATACAATGGCATACTATAGAATATGTAAAATAGTTACATTTTATGGTCCCATATAGACCAAAACAACAGATAAATGTGAAACTACCATTTAAAGTGGACTGTGAGGACACTTTTCAAACTACTGACAATGGTTGTTTCAGAAAAAGGGAAGAGAACTGAGAGGTAAAGGTATATTCTCTATTCTTCCATATTATTTAACTTTTTTGCAAGTAAACTTTAATATATTTATTTCTGTAATTTAAAATATTTTTTAATAAACAAAAGAAACATAATATAGTAAGGAGAAAATAAGAGAGTGTGGGAAATTAAATACAACAAGGAAATCCCAAATGGTGTACAATCAACTCAGGTTAAAGCTGTGTCTAATTCTCCTTTAAATATTACTGAATGCAATTAAATATTACTGAATACAGCTAAAAATATGGTACAGCAAATAAACGGTAAAATTCAGCTAATAGCAATGACCAATTTTTTTTTTTTTTTTTTTTTTTTTTTTTTTTTTTTTTTTGGCGTTGCGTGGGCCTCTTACTGTTGTGGCCTCTCCTGTTGCGGAGCACAGGCTCCGGACGCGCAGGCTCAGCGGCCACGGCTCACGCGGCATGTGGGATCTTCCCAGACCGGGGCACAAACCCGCGTCCCCTGCAACGGCAGGCGGACTCTCAACCACTGTGCCACCAGGGAAGCCCTGACCAATTATTTTTGACAAGAGTGTATTATAGCACTGAAGCAAATTCAGTCACTTTCACTTTGACTTGCTTCCACTTCTATTTTGTCAAAACTATTATTTCTTTTCCTGTTAGTACTCTGAGGCTCTTGTTCAAAGGCCACCATCTCAAACAACCAACAGATTGTTTCAGACAACACATACTTAATCATCTTTATATTTGCCCTAATTTTCTCCACACTATACCCTCCCACATGACAACAGAGCCCTCTTTAGAGTTCTATGGTAATTCTGAACTTTTCTCACCATTCTTGCTAGCTCATATTACAGCACACATTCCAGATACCCTAGCAAAGGATGGCACATTACAAGTTTAAACCAACTGAAGAATAAAAACAAAAGTGTAATTGACATCCATGACTGAGCTTTTTTGCCCACTGAAGCCTCTAAACTGAGAATTACTCTTGGAGGGTATTTCAAAACACCTGTAATTCGGTGGCATGTACATGGCTAATGGATATTCAAGAGCAGGACTCTGTTAACTGGGTAGTGGTAAAAATGAGATTAAATTTAGATAAAGCCAAAGCTAAAATAGAAGTGATCTTATTATCAATCCAATATATAACAAATACTACAAAATCTAACTGGGAATAATTCCATCTAACCTCTTTTATAAATCTCTAGGCTCGCAAAGCACGTAGAAGGGACAAACCAGGTTTTAAAAACTGACAAAAAGCTACTTCAAACTGGAAAAACAATTTTTACACTTTAAGTGGCAAAACAAACAAGTGCAATTTTTTATATAACAGAAAAACGCAACACTGGGAAGTAAATTTTAAACACAAGACATGCATTTCATCATTTTTAGTATTATGTTCCCAAACTGACATGGTGAGTCCCTAAATACACAACAAAACATCTTTTCCCAAAAACATCAACGTAAATCTTCATGAAGCTAATTATTAGGAGAGGGAGCATGATGTTTTACTACTCTTAAAATTTAAGTATAAGAAATATAAAAGAATGTTACTGAACGGCTGAGGCTCCAGGTGCTAAGGCCGGTCCTCTTAAAGTATTCAGAAGACCCTAAGTGTGTACTGAGGGGAGTGATCAAGGTGAGAACGTTTCCACAGTTCCCTTCCTGTTCTTCGTTCAGATAACAATTGCCTTCGGGAGCTGGAAATGAGAAACCTCCCTTTCTGACCCCAAAGCATCAATAATATGTACAGTGTATATGGACACTTGTCACATTTATCTCCCCAACCTGACCAGAAACGTTTTTTTCCTTTTTCAGAAATTACACTTTCTCAGAAACAAGGTCAAATCTAAGATAAATTCCTTTGGAGTTTGGACACTCAAGATTCTGATGGACACTCAAGATTCTGATGAACTTAAATGTTTTTCTGCTGATGACAGTGTACTGCCAATTCATGCTTTTCTATTATCCTATTTGGTGGTTCCTAGAAAATACACAGTATCCTCATGAATATTTTAAGATTTAAAGATGTTATAGTACAGAAGAGAAAATAGTTATAATAGCAAATCCCCCCACAATATCGTTGTTGTAGAAACAGGGATGATGATGGTAACAATGCTTTACTTGTATAATGAGTTGTTTCTCAGAAGAATCCCATAAAATAATCCTATTATTATTCCCATCATTTTATAAGATGGAGGAAGTGAGGCTTGGAGAGATGAAGACTCACTCAGGAACTTGGTCTCTAACCACCACACTCACTGTCTCTCCTAAGTAAAGTCACATATTCTACCTCAATACTGGGTTTTAAAACCATATCTTGAACCATGAGGACCTGGAACACCCAACTTTCATCAAATATGGAACCAAGTCTTCCCTTAATATCATAGATTGTATTTTGTTAGTTTTTTTTTTTGCTACTTTTAAAATTCTATCCTCATACAGGAGGGGAAAAGAACTAACATTTATTCCTATGTATTATATGCCAAGAACTGTGCTGAGCAACTCACTATCTTACTTAATTCTTACATTCTTCCAGTGAGGTACCTTTAATTCTACACATGAGAAAACTAAGGCTCAGGAGGTTAAATAATTTCCTCAAAGGCAAATGGCTAATAACTGACATAGCTGGAATCTGAACTCAGGCTTACACAAATAAAAGTCCTTGGTGTTTGGTTTTTTTTTTTTTTTTTTTACCTTATCCTGATAAATTCTAGAATGTAGAAGCCATAATACTTTTAAACATATTTAAAGTATACTTTAAAAAATACACATTATTTAATAGATGAAATGCAAATTTCTGTATTACTGAATATATCATACAAATATATAAAATATTAAGAATTTGCTAAAGGATTTGTAAGTCCCTAAAGTTTTCCTATACAAAAGATTACTTTATGAAAATATAAGACTATTTAAGCTACCACTCCACTTATTAATCCAAACAAATGAAAGTTATCAAAAATGAAAATATTACAGTGCAGCATACTACTACAAAGGTTAAAATACAGACTACATTTTCCTAAGACTTCCTGAGGTGTTTGCTATTTCTATTTAATCTTACCATAAAAGTAAATGAATCCCTTCTAACTGAAAATACATCAATAAAAATTCAATGAAATGTTTAGCTGATGACTTCACGGGCGCTATAAAAAATAAACAGCATAGCAATACTGTTTTCCTTTTGACTGAGGAAGATGTAACACCTCTAGAAAAATCTCCAGGAAAGTAGATAATGTTTTATTACTGGCTCAAAGCATCTAGGTATGCAGCCAAAGAATTTCAAAGCCTCCTAACATTTATTTTGAGTGGCTTTGAATACAAGAAACTTGTGTCTCATTAATGCAACAGTTTTAAATAAAAGATACCAGCATAAAACTTGAGGGTTGTAATGTTCCCCAAAACTGTAGGATGATCTCCGGTACTTAATGTATTAGAAGATTTACCAGGTAATCTGCTTTTAGCAAGTAGAAAACTGTCATCATTTGCAGTTCTCAACACTTCTATGTCATAGAAATTCATGATGCATTTCTGCCATATAATTTTACTTCTTTATTTTCCTTATCCAACAACTAGAATTCAGTGAAATCGTAGCATTCTTTTTAAAAAAACACTGTCAGATTTCTTTTAGGACATCACAAAGATGTTTACACAAAGTTTTGAAATTCAGGTAAATATCCAAAACCTACAACTGAACATCTGCCAGATTTAATCTCAATCATTGAGTTTTATAAACCTATGGCATTAAGACTTACCTGCTTCATTGTTAATTGGGAACTCCCACAATTTCCCTTCTTTTGTCAATTGGATCATCTCTTCGAAACCATTCTGAAAGGGTTGTTCATTGACTGCCGCTAACTGCTTAGCAAATTCTACATCCCAAAGAGAAGGTACTGCCTCTGTAGAATAAAAACATCCAAATTACGCACAATTCCAGGTAAATATCTATCTTTTTAAAAATGTTATCATCAGGGCTTCTCTGGTGGCACAGTAGTTAAGAATCCGCCTGCCAATGCAGGGGGCACGGGTTTGATCCCTGGACCGGGAAGAACCCACATGCCACGTAGCAATAAGCCCATGTGCCACAACTACTGAGCCTGCCCACCACAACGCTACTGAAGCCCACATGCCTAGAACCTATGCTCCACACCAAGGGAAGCCACCACAATGAGAAGCCTGCACACCACAACAAAGAGTAGCCCCCACTCGCCACAACTAGAGAAAGCCCATGCGCAGCAATGGAGACCCAACACAGCCAAAAATAAATAAATAAAATAAATTTATATTAAAAAAATGTTATCAGCTCTGAATTGGTAATATATTTTCAGATCTTGAAGCTCATAATTAAACAGTATATAGGGACTTCCCTGGTGGCGCAGTGGTTAAGAATCCACCTGCCGATGCAGGGGACACGGGTTCGAGCCCTGGTCTGGGAGGACTCCACGTGCCTCGGAGCAACTAAGCCCGTGCACCACAACTACTGAGCCTGCGCTCTAGATCCTATGAGCCACAACTACTGAGCCCACACACTGCAACTACTGAAGCCCACGTGCCTAGAGCCCGTGCTCTGCAACAAGAGAGGCCACCTCAACGAGAAGCCTGTGCACCACAACAAAGAGTAGCCCCTGCTCACTGCAACTAGAGAAAGCCCGCGTGCAGCAACGAAGACCCAATGCACCCCAAAAAAACCACAAAAAACAAAAACCAGTATATAATGAAAGGTCACTCTTTGATGGCTAAAATTGAAACAAAAATAATATATAAAGACTACAACCACAATAATTGCAAGCCTTACTTTTTGTTTTTACTACAATGCTAGGTAATCAACTGCTAGTCTCACTGCCCCCTCTACTGGAAAGGAAAAAAGAAATGTCTATTCTGTTCACGGATCTTTTTATGACTGAATACTTTTTATACAACATGTGATTTAGATCTTTAAAGTCCAGTCTGTTTATCTTTATTTTTAGTCTGTTAAGTCACTAATGTACTACTAATAAAGACCAAATAAGTTAAATTAACATAATTACAATAACAATGACAATGATAATACTATTAACGCATACTGGGCACTTATTCTGTGCTAAATGCTTTTTATACATTAGTTCATTTAATCCTCACAACCAACTCTAGGAGTAAGGTAATATAGTGTTAGCTTTTTACCACCATCATATCACATTTCAATCATTTATTTGTTTTGGAAATTTAAGACATCTTTAAAGAATGAGTCACATTCCCACCAAACATCACTGGTGGAAATGTAATGGTACAGCTGCTCTGTATTGAATAAAAGAGTGTGGCAGTTTCTTAAGAAGTTAAGAATATACTTATAGGGACTTCCCTGGTGGCACAGTGGTTAAGAATCCACCTACCAATGAAGGGGACACAGGTTCAAGCCCTGATCCAGGAAGATCCTACATGCCGTGGAGCAACTAAGCCCACAAACCACAACTACTGAGACTGCGCTCTAGAGTCCACGAGCCACAACTGCTGAGGCCACATGCCACAACTACTGAAGCACGCACACCTAGAACCCGTGCTCCGCAACAAGAGAAGCCACTGCAGTGAGAAGCCTGTGCACCACAATGAAGAGTAGCCACCGCTTGCTGCAACTAGAGAAACCCACGTGCAGAAACAAAGACCCAAAGCAGCCAAAAATAAATAAATAAATAAATTTATTTATTTTTTAAAAAAAGCAAGCTGGCTCCTTCAAGAACCCAAGCACCTCTTCTGGCTGTTCATTAGGTGGACCATAGCAGCTGCCCTGACAAAAAATTCCCTTTTTGGGGCAAGCTTAAGAGTTGCCACTTCAGGAATTCCCTGGTGGTCCAGTGGTTAAGATTCACAGCAGTGGCCAGGGTTCAATCCCTGGTCTGGGAACTAAGATCCCCGCAAGCTGGGCGGTGCGGCCCCCCCCCAAAAAAAAAAAAAAGAGTTGCCACTTCAACAGGGGAGAGGTGTGATCCATTCTCCACGCCTGTACATTTTGCATTTCCTTTTCATCAATCATAGAAGACAGAATGCAGTTGTCACAGTACAAGAAGGGGGGGTTGTTCTCTTAGCTTCATCTTCAGCTTAAATGAACAGTGATTGAATTAATGCCTTTCCTCCATGGATATTTATTTTATAGCTCAATTTGTTTAAAGAAGGATTTAAGATAACGGATTCCTATTATTTGTAAGCCACTTGGCTAGGGGCTATTGGGTATACAAAAATCAATGAGACCCAGCCCCTAATATCAAGGAGTTTATTGAATAGTGGGAAAATCAGATGTTTTTATAAGTAACTGAAAGATTAAATGAGCCACTGGAAGATGGCCTAGAAACTTAAATATCAAAAATAAAATTATTTCTACCAAGGTCCAAAAAATTAACTGATAATCCTTAGAAATGAAAGTCACTTATAAGCTAAGACCATTTGTATGGAGTTTCTTCATTTATTTTAAGTTATCAGTAAAACAAATTTAATGTCAAGCAAGAGGACACTTATTTCTCTTTTAATTAGGCTTAAAATGGTGACTGTGAAGGATCTGACTTCTTGCCGAAAGAAGAAAGGGGGAAGAACAGAGAACAAACACTAACTGTGTGTTAAGAAAAAAACACTACAAGTCTGCTAAATATATTCCCTGAATGCTCTCCTTCCCATCTCCTAAATAATCTCTAAATCACTTCAATAAATTAGCACCTATAAGTGCTATCTCCTCTTCTAGATAGTAAGCTGCCTAAGGGCAGACACCACAATTTATCTTTACATAATAGTACAAAGGTGTGTTGCAAATAGGAGGTGATCATTAACGTTCTAACCCAAATTAGCAGCCAATCTATAGATCTGGATTCCTGTGGCTGATGGTACTTACCTCCCATTGCCTCACGGGCTGCAGCATTTCAAGGGAGAAATCTGACCAACACTAACATGTCAACAACTAGGTTAATAAGCAAGATCCAGGTCAATGACAGGATAGAATATTAAAATACCTGATTATTATGCAATCAAAACAGGAAGGACATTTTTCAAAGATGGAATGTTTCTACACCTGAGAAATAGTGTTATTTTCTTAACAAACCTGTTTCAGGTGCCTCTTCAGTAACTGCCTTAAGCTCAAAAATATTAAGCCTCTTCCCCTTGAATATATTTTTCCTAAAACTGAAAAAGAAAAAATTATTTTAATGAATATTTTATACACAGTCAACAAAAAATTGTTTATGAGAAGAAAATTTTATATGAAATATTCAACGTAAAAATAATTCTGCTGCCCCACACCAGACATTTTAACTAAATTGCCACGTCTTTAGGACTGATAACTAAATGCAGGAACAAGTTCACCTGAATTTTTGCATCATAATACAACAAAGAAGTTACAACAATTTAACTACCAAAATACCTAATTGAAAAGATCACCTTAATTTGCCACAATTTTTATTTGATCCATTTCATATTAAGGTTTTAGAAAACCTGACATTGTGGAAAGCTATTAAAATATGCTAAGTTAGAAGTTGTTAAAGTCAACATTTGTCTTAGTTTAAGGGTAAAAAACACTGCCTGTTTAATTATAAATTATAATTATAAAAGACTGCACAGGGGCTTCCCTGGTGGCATAGTGGTTGAGAGTCTCCCTGCCGATGCAGGGGACACGGGTTCGTGCCCCGGTCCGGGAAGATCCCACATGCCGCAGAGCGGCTGGGCCCGTGAGCCATGGCCGCTGAGCCTGCGCGTCCGGAGCCTGTGCTCCGTAACGGGAGAGGCCACAACAGTGAGAGGCCATGGGAAGCCCTGGCAGGTGGATTCTTAACCACTGTGCCACCAGGGAAGCCCCACAGTTATTTTATAATAGAAAGCTGTCTGTATTTACATAAAGTTTCTGTTCTCTCTCTCCTTCAAGCCTATAAAGTGACAGTTGGGGAGGGGAACCAAATATTTAGCATGGTCTGACAAACACTAACTGAACTTCATAGCAGGATGTGCTTACAGAATGTCTTCTGTGTGTTCTGTATTCCATGGGTTTTGTTCTATGTATAATCTCAGGAACCTGAGTTAGCTCCTTCTGGGTGTTAGATTATTAATTTGTACAGGAAGATTGGAAAAGATGGTCAGCAGTTAACAAGGAAGTTCAGGGGTTATAGTGACTTCGGAAGATTATTTGAATTACTAATTTAAAGTGATATTTATATCTATGACATTGAATAAAGCAGAATGTGTACTTGGAGTTTAACTTATTAAATATTGCCCTGGGACTTCCCTGGTGGCGCAGTGGTTAAGAATCCGCCTGCCAATGCAGGGGACACGGGTTCCATCCCTGGTCTGGGAAGATCGCACGTGCTGCAGAGCAGCTAAGCCCATGCGCCACAACTACTGAGCCTGTGCTCTAGAGCCCACAAGCCACAACTACTGAGCCTGTGTGCCACAACTACTGAAGCCTGTGCGCCTAGAGGCTGTGCTCTGCAACGAGAAGCCACCACAATGAGAAGCCCGCGCTCCACAACAAAGTTAGCCCCTGCTCGCCGCAACTAGAGAAAGCCCACGTGCAGCAATGATGACCCAACGCAGCCAAAAATAAATAAATTAGAAAAGGCATTAAATTTGCTAAAAAAACAAAAAACAAACCAAAAAATATTGCCCCAAAATATTTAACTTTAGTCTTCTTTAAATCAGTCTTCTTTGAAATGATGCCATGCAACTACATCAGAATGCTATATTATAGATTGATTTTTTTTTTTTTTCGGTACGCGGGCCTCTCACCGTTGTGGCCTCTCCCGTTGCAGAGCACAGGCTCCGGACGCACAGGCTCAGCGGCCACGGCTCACGGGCCCAGCCGCTCGGCGGCATGTGGGATCTTCCCAGACCGGGGCACGAACCCGTGTCCCCTGCATCGGCAGGCGGACTCTCAACCACTGCACCACCAGGGAAGCCTTAGATTGATTTTTAATGATTCGAGCTGTCATCAAAAATTAGAAGGTGGTGAGGAAGAAGCTGAAAAAGTAGGGAGGGGGTTTATGTGCATATAATGACTGCATTAAAAAGCTGCCTAGGACTTCCCTGGTGGCGCGGTGGTTAAGAATCCGCCTCCAATTCAGGGGACACGGGTTCGAGCCCTGGTCAGGGAAGATCCCACATGCCGTGGAGCAACTAAGCCCGTGTGCCACAACTACTGAGCCCGTGCTCTAGAGCCCGCGGGCCACAACTACTAAAGCCCGCACACCTAGAGCCTGTGCTCTGCTACAAGAAGCCGTTGCAATGAGAAGCCCGTGCACCGCAGTGAAGACCTGCCCCTGTTCACCACAACTAGAGAAAGCACGTGTGCAGCAACAAAGACCCAATGCAGCCAAAAATAAATAAAATAAATAAATGTATAAAAAGACAACCAAAAAACTATGTAAGGCGTGGCTTAGCATCTTTAAGAACTGCAAATTACCAAATTCAGATTGCCACAAATAATCTACTACTTTAAGGTATTATAATGGATCTTCTTTCTTTTTCTGATGGTGGGTTATTTCTCTAAGGTATGAAGAAAGATGATCATACACAGAGATAGAGAGAGTACATGAAGATACACTGTTAGGCACACATCAGAATGAAAAATAGTGTTTCTCGCAAACCATTCATTTGTTCAGAATTCAGTCAGCTCCACTTACTCTAAATCAGGAGACCTTTATTCACCGTGGGTAAATGTGAGGCAGGGCCCATTCTGATTTATGATATAGAAAAATGTAGGGCTGCTAAACCCAGTATCTTTCCCTCTCTAGGAAATGGGACGTGGAGAGTAAGGAGACAGATATAAATGCATCCGTGACGCTCAGACACCCAACAGCAACAATATGCACAGAAACAAAGTAAATCTACAGTTCAACAAACAAAACCAAACTGACTGCAAGGCCTGAATACCTTCTTCTCAGATCAGCAGGCTTCGCTTGGCCAACAAAATCATCAGTCCCTTCATCAAACTGAATCTGATGCACTGGTCTTGTGCTAACTCTCGCTGTGGCAGATCTGGCAACTTTCATATCTGATATGATGTCAGTGAAACTGAAATAAGAAAAAGGTTAAGTGTGTTAGCTACAGAAGAATAATAAACTTTCTTTTTTTTTTGAGTAATAAACTTTCTTAAACATGAGATTCATATCACTTAATTCTTACTTCACTTCTATGCACTAATACTGAACAAAAAGTCATGTTTAAATAAAAAATTATATGTTGCCTATTAATACCACAGACCACTAAGATTGATGTGGCTTTCTCTCTTTTAAAGATATTCTTCAGAAATGTTCATTTAAAACATAAGTAAAAGTGTCCCTCATGAAAAACTGTCAAACATCCAGACAAGTAGATATCAATATCTGTGTACCTAGCACCTAGATTAAAAACCTATATTAAAGTTGAGATTTAGCCATATTTATTTATTGCCTTGCATTTGTTCAAAGACAAATAAAATGCATGATCATATTGTGCATAAAACCAGCATATTATTTAACTAAAAAAAAAACTCAGAGAAATTGTCTTATTCTATTATTTATTTCTTTATTTTAAATAACATTACTGAATTTACCACTTCTTTTTCATGGACAAGAAATTATGTAACTTCTCAAAAGAAGTTTAATCATTCAATTGGTCTTTTAAAACTGAAATCTTACTTAACACACGAGTTTTAAAAGAAATCAAACTGCTAATACTTATGAGGCATATTTTATATATAAATGAATATATTATGTAATGTAACTCAGCACTCACATGAAGCCAGCCTATTTTGACATATCAACATCACTGACACAGCTATTTGATTCACCAACCTAATTTTAGGTCTCTCTCCATCCTTCTGTGCCCTCGAGTCTTCCTCGTGCTGCTGGAGCTGCTTGAGCAGCTCCGACTTGGTCATCTGCTTGTCAAAAGGGAGAGAGTCTGCAACCGCGGAGGCAGCTGCCACCAACTCCGGGCTCAGGGACTCACTTCTGAAAGAGAACATGGAAGACAAATGAGAGAAAAGAGGCATTATTACTTCAGTGGAAAGTAAAATGATTTCTTGGGAGAAAACCTCTTGTCCTTCAAAAAGTATCATTCAATTCAATTTCTGACAAAATCAAGAATTCTTAACACAGCATTGTAAATCAACTACACTTCACTAAAATTTTTTTTAAAAAAAGAATTCTTAAATATTAGGTGTCGGTTTTATATAAATGTTACAATATTGAAAGTTAAAGTTAATGGATCCTTAATGAAGCACAATACTAACTCAGAGCAACAGATTAAGGTGGAGGAAGGAGGGATCAGCCTCGAAAGTGATAAATTAGTGGATTTTTAAGTTAGATGCCATTTTATTTCAAAAACAATACAGACTGCAAGCAAATATAAAAGTGGTTAAACCTGTTTATACAAGCTTCAATGGTAATATCCTCAAATTGGAAACAACCCAAAGGTCTATCATCAGAACGGATAAACAGTGATATGTCCATGCAATGGAACAGTACTCTGCTCACTCCACAACATGTATGAAACTGAATGAAAGAAGCTGGATTAGAAAAAGTATATATGGTATGATTCCACTTATATCAAGTTCTAGAAGAGGCCAAATTAAGGTGAAAAAAATCAGAACAGTGGCTGCCTCAGGACAGAGGTTACTGACGGGGAAGGTGAAGATGGGAAATGCTCTGCATCTTGGAAAGTGTGTGGGTTACATGGGCACATCAATTTGCCAAACTCCTACAGCTAAGATTTGTACACTTTAATGTATGTAAATTTTACCTGGGAAAAAAAAAACCCATAAAATCATCACGTGGGAGATGGAAAGTGGGTGAAGGTATAGATGACAAGAATGGCAAGATTTGGTAATTATCAAAACATCATACGATTGTTTACTTTATGTTTTAAACTTTCCATAAGCTAAAAAAAAAAAAAAAAAAGCTGTTCTTCAGTAAAGTAGGGTAAGTTAGGAGAAAAATATGCCAGATATAAAAAGTTATTTACATTTTTTACATCACTGAAAATTGCCATCTCAATGAGTGGGATCCGAATTACTGTTTTACTATACCTGGCTTTCTACCTTAGGAAATGATGTCTAACATGCAAATCAAAGTTCCCACACCCCTGAAGCTGGGCCTCAAAGAGACTGTCAGAGCCTGGAGATGCTCAAGGACGCTGAAAGTGAGGGCTGTAGGAAAATCAGTGTTACTGGAAGCTGGAGGAAAGGGGACCTTAATGAATAGGTAGCTGAAATCAGAGCAGGTAGTTGCTTGGTTAAGAGAATGTTACTTAAAGGAGGAGCTAGAAACTATGGTTATCACTGCACCCACCAGGGGTCTTGTAAGGTTTCACAGTACATGCAGACTTACAAGACTACCACTGACATGCCTGGCTCCGACTACTCAGAAAGGTAAAGGGCAGAACCACAGCGGGCTGGCAGGGCAGCCTCAGGTGTCCCTCTCGGGAAGTCCCTGCAGCACTCGCGGGTGACACATCACACAGCCATCCAGGAGTTAGGAGACCCACATCGCGCAGGTGCAGGAGCTTAGTGCCCCACAGGAACCAGTATCTCTTGTAACAAGGCCACAGGCAGAGTATCTGTGGTCCCTACAAAGGACATGCAGTTACAAGAGTAACTGCACTCAAGGAAGCCCTAAGTACACTGAACCATAAGGTACCTATAGTTCGCCCAATCCAGATGCAATCAGTTATTCAGGGGGTCAATTTTATCATGATAATGTTGCCTTCGATACAGCTGACAACTACAGTAATCAGGTTAATGGCTGTGGCAGATATTTTCATAAAACAGAGACAGCAGTGTTTCTGGTCCCACAAGCTCTTCCAAAACCTTGCTACAAGCCCATCTAGAGAGGCAATTTCCCCTCCCCCTGAAACCAGGGGAGACTTCGTGACTGCCTCAATGAACAGAATGAGAGAGAAATGATGCCCTGTGACTTGTGAGGCTAGGCCACATAATGTGACACGACTTTTGTTGGGATCTCTCTTGAGACGTGTGTACGTGGACCCCAGCTCTCAGGTTGTGAAGAAGCCCAGGCCACTTGGAGAGGCCCTGGGTAAGTGTTCTGGCCAAGAGCCCCAAATACGGTCTCAGCCAATAGCCAGCATCAAGCACTGGAATGTACTGCACGTGGGCAAGCTTTCAGAGAATTCCAGATGCCAGCTTTGAAGCTGCCCTTGCTGACGCTGAGTGGAGCAGACACAACTATCTGCAGCTCTTTGCCCAAACTGCAGAGAGATGCTGCCACTAAGCCTTGGGATGGTTTGTTATGCAGCGATAGATAACTGGAACAGATTTTGGAGCCTGGAGCTTGGGTGCTGCTGTTATAAAACAAAACAAAAAAACCTAAAATGTATGGGAGAGTTTTGGGTACTGGCAGAGGAGGGAAACCGGAGAGATCCTGAGGCAAGTGTTAGAGAAAGCTTAGGGCCTCAAAGAGCCTGTTAGAGCCTGGCAGCCGCGTGAAGACTATAGGAAAATCAACGTCACTGGAAGCTGGAGGAAAGGGGGCCTTTGTTTAGCAACATTATTGCTTGAAGTAATATGGCAAATGAGGGAGATGCTCAATGAATTGGACAACCTAGCAAGGAGCCTTCCAGACAGAATACTGAAGGTGCCTCCTGCCTTCTTAGTGGCCAATGGTAAAATGTGAGAGGAGAGAGAAGAAAGAACTGTCCCACATAAAGGAGCCGAGACCTGCTGGGATCAAAAATAAAACATTTCTCATTCTTAGCCCCTCCAGATAGCAAATGATGCTAAAATTTAGAAATGGCTTCTGTACAGAGATCAAATCCAGGGCAGCATTAGGAAAACGGTCTAAAGATAAAGCTATGGGCACGACTGTAAAACCCTCTGTTAAGATCTTAGAAAGATTTAAGATGGTGCCTTAGAGTGCCCTTCAGACAACAAGAATTCTAGGAAACGTAAAGGTGTGGTCCCAGGGCCTCTCACGGGGAGCTCAATGTAGACCAGGACCTTGGTTCCCAAACTGTGCCCTAAGGCACCCTGGAGTACCATAGGGAAATATCAGCCACGTCTGTCAGTGACTGTGTGAACTACTAACTCAAGGTAGTTCACAGTTTTAACATTAGACTACTGCATCCCTTTCAATGCCACCATATCTTTGTGAAGATGGTTCTCCAGCAGTTGCTGTGATTAAAAAGCAAAATCCCTGGGCTTCCCTGGTGGCGCAGTGGTTGAGAGTCCGCCTGCCGATGCAGGGGACACGGGTTTTTGCCCCGGTCCGGGAAGATCCCACATGCCGCGGAGCGGCTGGGCCGGTGAGCCATGGCCGCTGAGCCTGCGCGTCCGGAGCCTGTGCTCCGCAACGGGAGAGGCCGCAACAGTGAGGCCCGCGTACCGCAAAAAAAAAAAAAAAGCAAGAACCCTTCAAAAATCAGAAATGAGAGTGGCGGTGTCCAGTCTGACTCCAAGGCTAGGTCATAAAACGATACAAATTCCTAGGGGCTCGTTTTCTCTTGGGACACTCACCCTTGGAACCCAGCCACCATGCAGTGAGGAAGCCCAGGCCACATATAGGTGGTTCTGTAACAGTCCTGGCTAAGGTGTCAGCTAACAGCCAGCATCAACTGTCAGACCTGAGTGAGCAAACCCACAGATGATCCCAGCTCCCAAACTTCCAAGTCTTCCAGCTGAGGCCCCAGACATCACGGAGCAGAGGTGAGCCTTCTCTACTGTACTCCATCCAAACTGCTGACCCACAGAATCCGTGAGCATGAAAAAAGGCTGTTTTATGCTGCTGAACTTGGGGGCAATTGTCATGCATCCATGGTAACTGTATCAACATGGGGGAGGGTGTTCGACATATAATACAAATAAACGAGCTAAAAGCGGGCCATGCACGGGGCAATGATGACAGTACATCATGAATCAAAGACGATGACTAACCAAATTCTCTGCATCTGGGATTCCTTAAAAAAAAAAAAAAAAAGGGGGGGGGGGGGGGGTGGGAATCATTAAAAGATACATTTTTAAACTCAAAATAAATGTATCTCATTCACCAATCTTTTGATATAGGATCAAAGCCTCTTCTTTGAACACAGGACCACTGACAGAAGTTCCAAGGTATTGATACATCTCTTATATGTGTACTACACCCATAGTACATCCTCCAATATCACCAATTTTGGTTTCTTTAAAGTGGAAACATGGAGCAAGGACTTAAAACGCTTACAAAGCAGTCTGAGTGCAGAATTTTCCTGGACTTTTATGCTTGTCTCATTCATACCTAATTGGAAAGCAACTTTTAAAATTACCTCTACTGAGTCTTTGCAAAGCAATCAACTCATTTTAACCACTTCATTAATAGTTAATTAAATTGTATAGTTATAATAAAAAGCAAAATGAATCATAAACAGGTCTGGAAGCTCGGAAAAAAACCTTACGCTTCATAAGTAATTATAAATGTGCGTCGGAGTATTTCCTAATTACGTATGTATATATTTTTTATTTGTTTTATATTGTTTCTAAAAAGGAGGACGAGAAGGTACTTAACATGGGCATTTCCTGTTTGAATTAGTTTACTCTCTACCACCCAATTATGCTTTCCAGTGGTAGATTAGATACAATATGATACAATGTAGAAACTAAGCAGTTCTGTTAAAATGTTAAGTCATTCTGGGAATAGAAACCTATGCTATCTGTTTATTTTGCTAAGAGAAGTCAGAGATGGGGATCTTAAAGCCACATTTCTTATTACTTGACCATGTCACTGGTGTAATCATTATTTATGTATAACTAAAACAAAATACTGCCATTTAAACTACAACACAATGCTAAAATATCACTGATTGCACTTAGAATCAGTAAAATATTATACTCTTTTGACAAGCACAAGTAATTACAATACTTTGAGGAAACCAGGTAAGCTGAGAGCCCTGATAATTACTGGTCAAAGGAAGTAATTAAAACAGCTGTAATTAACATGACAAAATTCTATCCTAGATGGATTTTTTTAAATGAAATTTCAAATAAAGAAGTCCTTCAGGGACACAAAGCAACCTTCAAATCAGGATGTAAATAATTTGTTAATTAACAGCTTAAAGAAGCAATTAAATGCAGTTAATAAGTGATGAATATGTAAGAGAATGTGGAATTCTCAATTAGATCACTACTCTTTCC